CCTTAAAAACAGGGAAAAAGAAAAGAGAAAAGTCGGAAAAAGAGCGCGGCAAAAAGGACCGATTTTAATTTGTTTTAGTAGTATGTATATACTATTCTCTATCTCTAATCTAATCTAATCTTACTATGTACAAAAATAAGTTTTCATCGTACATTTAAAAAGAAAAATACGTGACAAAATGAAAGCGGTTAAAAAAATATGTGAGAAAAAAATGTCAATTAAAAGCGCAAAAGAAAATGTGTTGGAAAAAAAGGTTTCCTTCATCCGTAAAAACAAAAAAAAGAACGAGAACAAAAAAGGGTTTCCTTCATCCTTAAAAAAGCAAAAAAAAACATGCAAGGAAAAAACTATCAGAAAAACACGCCATTTCTTAAAAAATGGTTTGAAAAAATCGCGCAAGAAAAAAAATACCATTTATAAAAATACAATCCGCTCTAAGAAAACGGTTAGAAAAAAAAGATAAATTGATGAACGCTTGGGTCGGATAGGATCCATCGGGTTTTTTCCATCTCCTCTACGATCGTCATTTATTCTCATGTATTGGAGACCCTGCGTATCTCTGTAGGCAATTATCAAACTATTTTTGTTAAGTATAGCTACTATTCTTGATAACATATTATATGGAAATAATATTAAAAAATAAACATATTTTTAATTGTTATTTAGAGAAGAGTGCTCAATGACTCTATTTTGTGTAGACTTGGTCATGCGAGACAGGGTAGGATTTAATTGGTCCTATTATTGGTTGCAGGAATGAGATTGAAAGAGTATTTTAGATTATATGTATGTTGCCACATGAATAATCCAATTATTTTAGATAAAGCAAACATCGGTAAAGTTGCCATCGTCGAGGTTGGGCTATTATATTGAAGATGTTCCAATTTTCTGATTGTCTTAGCTACAAACGATCTATACAAACATTGCCATTGACATGGTTATGCATGAAAAATGTATATTATCATTAGAAATTTTTCACCTGTTGCAACGCACGGGTATTTTTGCTAGTCTAAAAAAACGAACCTAGAACTTGATGTGCCACATCATACTATAACGAATCTGGATAAATATATGTTCAAATTCATAGTACTAGAAAATGTCACATCTAGTACTGGGGTGTAGTACTGGGGTGTATTTAGTTCACGCAAAATTAGAAGTCTAGTTGAAATTGGAACGATGTGACGAAAAAGTTGAAGTTTGTGTGTGTAGGAAAGTTTTGATGTGATGGAAAAGTTGGAAGTTTAAAAATAAAAGTTTGGACCTAAACAAGGACTAGGTTGGTTTTTTTAATAGGACGGAGGGAGTACTCTGTAGGTTTCAAAATAAGTTTATTTTTCGCCAATTCAACACATACCAATATAAAACTATACGAACCAAAATATTCTTACTTTATCAAATCGTATTGCAATAATCTTTTAATTTATTTACTTCCTGATATATTTATCTCCAAATTTTATAAACTTCGATGTAATGATTACTTAAAACAAATTTATTTTATAACAAACGAGAGAGAGAAAAAAATTAAACTTAGGGCCCCTTTGAATCAAAAGATTTATGTGCGAATTTCATAGGATTCAAATCCTATAGGAAATTTTTCTATTTAGCCCTTTGATTCAAAGGATTGAAGATGTCCAAATCCTATAAAATTCCTATGAAATGACACATTGCATGTGGATTTTAGAGAAAATGTAGCAAGAACTTCAACCTCTTGGAAAATTTCCTTTGAGTCTATCGCTCTCCTCCGATTTCTACATTTTTCCCGCGCTCCAATCAAATGACCCGTTCATGTGTTTTGCAATTCTCTGTTTTGCACTTCAATTCTTATTAGAATTCTGTATTTTTTTTCTATTTCTCTATTTTTTCGACCCTATGATTCAAATGGCCCCTTATTATGATACGAAGGGAGTACTACCAGCTTCCTTACATTTGACATGACCATTCTTGCCCTGCTTGGAGTGCAGCACAACTGCACAAGGCAAATACTACTGGGGCTCTATTGGAGTATAGACTTCTACTCCTACTTGAGTTAAATCTACCACATTATTCTTTTCTCTGTGGTTCTGATCACAGATCAAATTTAACATTGTTCGCTACTACTAATGTATCAGAATCCTGTTGAGCTCATGGATTCAGTACGATTTCAAGTCTGGGTATTAATTTGATTGTAGATAAAATTCATCACAAGAATACAAGATAATGCAGGACTCTGGAAGGGTGGATCGTTGAGGGAAAAAAAAGGCTGAGAATAAAGTATGAGGGCGTTCACAGCGCAAGTACGTGGTGTTTAGCCCCACATCAAGAAACCGAATATTCGATGTCATATCGCTAATATGTGGAGCCAAAACAAGACACTCGTTCTTCGCCTTGCTCGAGGGCTTGCGAGTTGCAACACAGGGAGGAACGCGCGCAGCCGCGTTGTGAAGGGCGGAGCCTTACGCAGCATGGCTTTGCACATGCGTCGGCGAGTGACCCCCTCCCCCCGGCTCACCGACGTGGAACCTGTATTTTAGACCCGTATCTCTAGCCTATGTGGCACTGTGAGGCTCCTCAAACTAATGTGACTGTACTGTGAACATCGTCTAGTTAAATATATACAAACATATATATTTTTTTCAGAAACTTTTGGGTATTCACGTGATACCCAAGAACCCTCTGGATCTGCCCAAGCAGCTTGCCAAGGAGCTGATTTGATTGATTTTGCCAACGTAATCTTCATCGCTACCTAGGAAAAACCGACTTCTTCGCTGGAAAGAAGCAGCAGCTTTGCTCAACAAATGGCACCAAACTCAAGAAAAGTTTCATTCTGAAGACAATTTTTGACCGACGAAAATGCAGCAAGCAAAGCATAATTAAGCATCCTCTAGTCATCAGTCAAACGTATGCTACCATGCTGTCAGGAAACTTCGGAGTTTTGTAAGTAAACCAACAACTTTGGATCATAACAGGAAGATGGAGTATGAAAGAGTACTAAACAGATGAAGCATATCCTCTTCAGTGATACTTTTCTTGTGTCTGAAACAACTTGGAATTAGACGAATGGCCCACAAATTCCCTTTTTTTTACTTGATTTGCTAGTCTTACTCGATCATAATAAATATAGCAACATCAACTACAACCGGTCAATCGAGGTTTTTGGGCACTGATCATAATAAACATAATGTCAATCGAGTAACATTTAGTTTAAAATAAAATACTGCTAACATTTACTAGTACCTGGACAAGGTATGCAGAAAGCAAGCCTGAAATCTGAAATCTGTACTCCTACTGGCCTACCTTATTTACCACACTGCTTCCCAAGTTCTCTGTTCATGAGGGCCCTACTATTTATTCTCCAGGATCTGGGCCCACCAGCCAGGATAGCATCAAAACACCCTGTCCATGATCCAAATTCATGCTTCTTTGTACTAGCAAAACACCAATGTCGCCTTCATGTCCTAGACAGGGTTTCAAAAACCGCCGGGGGCCCGGTTACCGCCACCCGGCGGTACGGCGGTTACCGGCGGTAACCGCGGTAACCGCGCAAAACCGCGACAAATTTACAAATCGAAATTTGAATTCAAAAATTCGGGCAAACCGCGCGGTTTGACGCGGTAACCACGCGGTTTGGCGCGGTTACCGCGCGATGTGTAATGGGTTGCACAGTAACGGGCCGGCCCATTTTTTTTTCTTTTTCCAATTTTCAAATTTATTCTCCGTTTTGCTCTCAAATTTGAATAAATATTACTCTTTTTTGAGAAATTTCTTCACCATAAAACACTATAAATCAAGCACTACCTTCACTATTTTTTTTGATTTTTTTCTTTTTTTTTAAATTTTTGAATTTGGACGAATTTTATTAAACCGTACCGCGCGGTACGGGTAACCGTACCCCCGCGGTACGGGCGGTAACCGCGGTAACCGCGCGGTTACCGGCGGTTTTTCACACCCTGGTCCTAGACAACTGAGACACAACTTATCTTCCTTGGCTGTTCATGTTCTTGCAGTTTGCTTCGTCAGATACAGTCATACAGAACTTAAATCTTTTTTTCTTCACAAGCTGTGAGTGTTGTCTTTAGCTGTGGATGCAAGCTTTGTCTGAACCTTGTGTCCTCCTTGGTCATTCATCCATTCATTCATGGTCATGCACTATATTCCAAGCTTCAAGCTGGTCTTGTCAGTGGCCTGCAACATTAAATGCACTTTGCCATGTTAGCTTCAGCATATCCCTGCTGGGAGAGAAAGGTGAATCCACCATTGCTGCCTGCACCTTCTTGTTGCTTGCTGCTTGCATTGGCCATGTTCATTCAGTGAGAAAATCAGAAAGAGAAAAATAAGGGACAGTTGAAAGTTGAAACCCAGTTAGTTCATTCATGGCTTCTTTTGTTCTCTTCTCCGAATGGAAACAAACGGCAAAAGGGTTTACCAACTTGTGTGTTCATAATCAAGGTTAATAATGGAAGTTGCATAGCATTTTGGTGGCAATTAGCATCACAAGGGATCTGAATGCACTTGTCTGAAGGAAAACTGTATACTACAGGAATGGATGCAGGTTTCTTGCAAGACCTGCACTGCATTCAGTTGAGTTAGATTTGACTATAACAGTACAACCTCTTGAATGGATCTGGTAATTAGCACATAATTGATAATTGCATCGAGTTCGACAGTTTCAATTGGTTAACTTGACCAGAACTATAATTGCATATCATTCCATCTCTTTCGGAGTTTCGGTCTTTCCTAGCCAAATGATTATTGTCCTCCAGTCTTCTCTGAAATGATCTCATATGCAGTATTTTTTTCTGCTGAACTTCACTCAAATCTCATATGAAGTATAGGCTGTGTTTAGATCCAAAGTTTAGATCCAAACTTTACTCCTTTTCCATCACATCAACCTTTCATACAAACACAACTTTTCAATCACATCATATCTAATTTTAACCAAAATCCAAACTTTGCGCTGAACTAAATACAGCCAAAGCATAACTGTATTACCCAAATCTACATAAAGTGATAAAAGATCATGAATCGAAAAATAATTCAAGAACCTGTTGTTCTAGTTGCAAATAGTCATCAAAAGCTCAGGCATGTCACCTTACAAAATGTTACTACAACAAGACCTGCCTTTTGCTCAACATCTCAAGTGAGAGAATCATCTGACAACAACTAATACAACAGCTACCTTTGAAATTAATTTCTACATTAGTAGCAATACGACTTAAACCTGCTTATAATACTAGATAAGTTTAGCAAGTCTAAACATGTAATCTGAATTAATTTTTTCGAGCTTGGTTTCACATGACGCTGCAAGAGTTGGCGTTGTCGTCGCTGAAAAGGTCGCCGTAGGAGTTCCTCGCCGGCGAGGCCGCGCTCCTCTGCGGCGTCCTCTGGCCGCCGCCACCGCCGCCGCCGCCGCCGCCGTAGTAGTAGTAGCTGTAGTAGCCGCCGTAGCGGTAAGGCGACGGCTGAGACTGCGAGTAGTACGGCGAGTACGCGTACGAGTGCTCCTGCGGCGGCGCCGGCGGCAATGGAGGTGGAGGCCTCGCGGCGGATGCAGGACGCGCGGCGGCGTAGTACGCCGCGCTCGAGCTCGGCCGCGCCACGTTGTAGCTCATGACGTGCACCGGCTGCTGCTGCAATGGCGCCGCCGGGAAGTGGTGGCTCGTGTGGTTGCCCTGCGTTGATGCCGCCGCCGCCGCCGCCGTGGCCATGGTGGCTTCACCTGCCTTCTCCTCTTTCTGCTGCTGCGGCGGCTGCTGCTTCCTTCTCCTCTTGGGCTCACTGGGCTGCTGCGCCTTGACCGTCTCGACGCCGCCGCCGCCGCCGCCGCCGTCGCCGGCGCTCTCACTGACATTGGCGTCGGTGATCTCCGTGCCACCGTCTTCAGCCGGCGCCACGGCGGCGGCGCCCTCGCCGGCGACCTTCTTGGGTTCTTCATGCGTCACCTTTGGGTCGCTTGGCTCCGCGGCGTCGCCGGACGCCGGCTTCTCCGGCTCAGCCGGCTCGCCGGACATGCCCGGCTCGGCAGCTTGGTTCTTGGTTTCTTCTTGGCACTGACCACCATTGGGTTGCTGCTGCTGCTGCTCCTCCGGCCATTGCTCGGCGTGCTTCCCGGCCCTCCTCAGCTTCCTTACGAGAGTGTCGGCGCTGACCTTGCCGGTGACGGTGACCGTCGCCTTGTTGCTCCGGCCATCGACGTCGCATCTGTACACGCCTTCGGAATCAACAGAGCACATTATTCTGTCAGTTTTAGTCACGTTTTTCTCTGCTTTTTTGAAGTGAAAAGAGAAGGGAAAAAAAATCTGTTTCCACAGATGCTTCGCCGATGAAACTACTAACTGCAGCATCAAAAAATGGGGAGCTAAAAATGCATCAAAATGCAGGTGATTTGATTTGATTTGATACAAACGCACACACCTTCAACTCTCTGGAGCACCTTCTTCACCTTCTTCTTGCATCCCTCGCAGTGGATGGACACTCTGAGAGCCAAAACCTGCAGCATGAATCAAATCATAATCAATCATTTAAAATATCTCTGATTGAGATGAAAAATAAATGTTCTCTCTCATTCTCAACCTCCCAGTGGATGTGAATGCATGCAGAAGGAAGACAAAGTAGTGAGATTGTGAGTGAGAATGTGTCGATGTTGGTAGTCTGGTAATTGGTACCTTGCATTGCAGAGATTCTGAAGCCATGGAGGAAGGGAAGGTATAGCGGTGGAAGAAGGGAAAGTGGCCAATGAGTGTGTACTGCACTGTCAACGGCGCATGGACGAGGGAGGAGAGGTTTTATAGCGGCACGGAGTACCTACCTGTAGTTCAGAACGCCATAAAGAATCACCACTGTTTCATGTAAAATTCGTGGTACAAATTTTGTAAGAAACTTCTTTTTTTTTATTTTACATATTACGTGAAAGACACGTACACAACAAAAAACAATGCTGTTTTAAATGGACTCTTTGCCGATAACCGATTATGTAACACTAGTTTATATAGCGGTTAACTTTATAACTCTTTTGAAACACATTCATATGAAAATATAGGAATGTGCCGCGTGTGTAAAATAGAAACACGAAAAGGTATAAAAAACATTTGACTGATTTTTTAATGGTTGGTAGGGAAAAAATAGGAATACTGAGTATTAAGTTAATAGTAGATCTCAATGCCTTGATCCATACAACTTGAGGCCAAATATACTTTTAGAGAATGCTGTTGATCGGGCGCTCGGGGGAGCGCAGCAAAAATCGTCCCCCCCCCCCACCCGACGCGCGTGGACGCCCCTAGGACCCCACCACCCACACTGCCACGTGTCCCCACCACATACTCTATTGTAATAAATCACCCACATATTTTAGAAAAACCTCTATTAGGAGATTTCGTTTAATTTTTTGTTTCGCCTAGTGTACTCACAATGTTTCACTATGTATAGATCTAATGTTGCAATGAACTGAAATATTTTTTTTCAACAAATCACTCACATATTTTGGAAACCCTCTATTAAGGGAATTCGTTTTATTTTTTGTTCCACAAAAAATGTTTCATCTAGTGTACTCACAATGTTTCATTATGTATAGATTAATGTTGCAGTGAACTGAAATATTTTTTTGCTATTTGCTGAAACATTGTTTTTATATAAGGTGAAACAACGTCCGATTTAAACGATTAAAACATTTTCGATCTACTTAGTGAAACAATTCCGATATACTTAGTAGAACATTGTGCAATATTTTAAAATAATTCAATAATAAGCTAAAAAAATCGTCGGAATATATCCTTGTGTGGTCTTGTCTTGAAGATTTAATTGTAACGAATTTAATGGTGCAATCGGATCATAATTTGGATAAATAATTTAAGAGAAAAATTAATTTAAAGCGGTTTTGTATGTATGCGTGGCGCTGATGTCATGCTAATATTAGCGTCCGATTTTTGCCAATCCGGATCGGGCGACCGATCCGTAGTCTCCTCCTATATTTATGTCATGACAACCTATTCCTATATTTTTTTTAGTTCCCACGTGTTTTTAAATCATGTGTTCTAAAAGAACCCTAAAGAATTTGGCAATTTCCAACCTTAGTATTCCAAACAACCCTCATAGGAAAATAAATCCTCCATATTTCTCATAATAATAATATTTGCCTCCACCCAACACGAGCTGGGAAAAACATGAGCGTGGAGTGGGTTTAACGGGTCTGGATCCCCTGGAGTTGAGTATAACTCTACCGGGTGGAGTTGGCCAAATCTGTGACATCCATTGTTTCCTACAGCTGAGATCATTCCTCATCAATTTCACCTAATAAATTAACTCCTTAAATTAATGGTTATGACTTTCGAGGAAACTTTTTTTCATGCATTTTCTCTATAAATAGCGATTTGATTAAATTCTCACCAAAAAAAAAATAATAGACCAGTGTTTTGTTATTGCCCAAACAATAGATATAATCGATCAACTCTAAAGCTTCAAGCAGTCTATACCAACATGTATAGTGCTTTCACATACAGTGAACCATATCAATATTAATGTGTGTGATTTTTTATATAATAGATGAAGCATTAAATTTTTTGCTAATTATACAGTAAAAATGATCTCATGACAAGTTGTTGATGCAAGTTTATTTGTTGCATGGTCAGTTACTGGTTTTTAAGTACAAATTAATGTGGCTTAATCTCAACCCTTGAAGTATACCGAATGGCACATGTTTAACCAACTACAAATTAATGTGGCTTAATCTCAACCCTTGAAGTATACCGAATGGCACATGTTTAACCAACTCCACCCTGTAGAGTTATATCTAACTCTAGGGAATCTGGACTCGGGTTTAACATTTCCTTTATTTTTCCTCCGGAATCACAGGGAAAGGAAAATTTTATAGCTTTTCTTGTGTTCATTCCTACGAGACCAGACAGTCAGACAATGCCAACAAAAAAAAAAGAAGACTAAGAATGTTGGTTATGTTTCCTGGGATTGTTTTATATTCCAGAGTTTCCATTAAGATTGTGTTAGCTGTAGTGAATTTCCTCGGTGTTTCATTATCTGTCTTCCGCGTCATGCCGTTTTGTCTGTCATCACGGGAACCGGAATATCCAACTGTACACCAAAATATTTAACTATTTATCACTTTTACACGTGATGTTTAACAATTTACGACTGAACTTACATGTCATATACAAGTACATAAGAACCAATGCCATATGAATGATAAATTATTAAACATCAAATCTAAAAAGTGATAATTAGTTAATGCTCCGTCCAAGATAGGAGATGATATATAGGGCTGCAGTGTGGAGCGTTTCCAGCCCACGGACTTGTTTGCTTTGGGAAGCCCATGAAATGTACAGGCTTCTCCTTTGGTGAATGCGCACTCTTTCTAAGCTGGTAGAGTTTTGATTTTATATAAAAAACTAACATATTAATTTTTAAATACTTTTTGAAATAATCTTTGAACTTTGTAATAATTTATTCCTTTTTTACTCTCAAATAATTATCACAAATCATTGTCTTAAAAAACAAAAAGAACTCATCAGAACCTAGTATTTACGTACTTCTCATGGAGTTTCCTAAAACAGAACAGCTTTTCATTCGATTACCCATAAGACATTGATTAATTAATATTGTTGTAACCAGCTTTGATATAGTGATAGTTCCAGAAGCTTACCCGAATATTCTTTTTTTTTTTGCTTATATACTTTCTCCGTTTCACAATGTAAGTCATTCTAACTTTTTCCACATTCATATTGATGTTAATGAATCTAGATAGAGATATATGTCTAGGTTCATTAACATCGATGTTAATGAATCTAGATAGAGATATATGTCTAGGTTCATTAACATCGATATGAATGTGAGAAATGTAAGAATGACTTACATTGTGAAATGGAGGGAGTAGTTCACTAATCCGTTCGACAATAAGACCAGCAGTAGGATAAGAAATCCAGACCTCCAAACGAAAATTGCTATACATATACGACCTAACTGTTCGACTTATATATTACTAAATTTGATCAACGGTTGTAAATGACTACAGTGTATATGGATATGCTATTCTTTCATTAATCTATGGTTACATGTTTCGTTGTATATGAGTTGTACAACTAGATCCTATGTAATTACCAAAATAAACGAACAATGAAAATGAAAAAGGTTGGAACTTGTTGCTGATTGCTCATAGGATCATCCATAACTAAGTCAGTCTGATTCTTTATACTCTTTTTTCAGGCCTTGAGGGGAGTCAGAGACCAACAGCAGCTTCTCATTTCAAGAATGCCTACAGATAATGCTGCCATTATCTGTTGAGAGTGGGAGGTGAACTGAAACATTGAGTAGCGATTTGGCGCATCAAAGGAAAGAATAAATCTAAACAAGTGCTTATCGGATTCATTCTCAGAAGCTGGTTTTTTCTTCGGATTTGATATAAATGTGTTGCCATATTTTTCATGAAAAAAAATACTCCATCCTTTCCAAATTGATCATCATATAATGGAATCCAAAATTTCTCAAATTGATTATCATATAACCACATGAACACGGATTTCATTAAAATACAATTAATGCCGCATAAGAGAATATGTGCATGCTAGGGTGTAATTGACATGATGTTTTAATTGATGCATGTATTGCAGGAGAATGTGTGCATGGTGTCTTGATTGATGTGATTTAAATTATCCTTAGTCTTGATGCATAAACATATATTCCCTCCGTCTCTAAATATTTGACGCCGTTGACTTTTTTAAACATGTTTGATTGTTTATCTTATTCAAAAACTTTTGTGAAATATGTAAAACTATATGTATACATAAAAGTATATTTAACAATGAATACAATGATAGGAAAAGAATTAATAATTACTTAAATTTTTTGAATAAAACGAACGGTCAAACATGTTTAAAAAGTCAACGGTGTTAAATATTTAGGGACGGAGGGAGTATGATTATCATTTTGGGATGGAGGGAGTAGTCAGTATGTATTTATATTGTACTAAGTCCCTAAATTATATATGTAATTATTAATTATAGTGTATCTAGAATATAAGTTCCTAAATTATATGTGTAAGTTCCAAAATTACGTATGTAACTCTCTAAATTACATATATGTAATTAATTACACTTGATTTATAATATAATTATATTTGACATATTTTTACAAAAACCTGTGGCCGTAGATAGTTTTCTTTGAAGGAGGGTACACAAGCATATGGCACACACATACCAAACCTAACAGATGCAGTTACTGATATGATCCATCCACACCTTCTGCAAGTTCACGATTTCAAGGATGCATCTCCCATGTATCCTGGGATCACGCATACTTTGCAGGGCCATGTATATTCCTGTAGCAAAAAACAAAATAATCCAACCAAATTACAGGTTTAATTTCGAGAGCATATATAAACATGGGATCACTCACGCTAAATTAATTTTTGTGCTGTGCACGTACACGATTGCATTGCTACTGCCATGGCTCACATGATGACGTCATCACCCACTGCCTGCGTTGTCCTTGCTCTTGCCTTTGTCCTCCTCGCAGTGACGCCGACGCTCTGCTACGTCACTGACGGCGCGACGCGGCGGCGAGGCGCGAGCACGAGCCGGCGCCATGGCGAAGCTCGGACTTACATCGTGCTCGTCGAGCCACCGGATGCCGACGGCGATGACGACGAGGCCGCGCACCGCCGGTGGCACGAGTCATTCTTGCCTGGCGGTGGCGGTGGCGGTGGCGGCGAGGAGCGGGCGTCGCCGACGCGCATCCGCCACTCGTACACGGGGGTGGTGTCTGGCTTCGCCGCGACGCTGACGCGCGGCGAGGTCGCCGCCGTGTCGAGGAGGCGCGGGTTCGTGCGCGCGTTCCCGGAGCGGAGGTTGCCGCTCCTGACGACGCGCTCGCCGGGGTTCCTCGGGCTGACGCCGGAGCGGGGCGTGTGGAAGGCGGCCGGGTACGGCGAGGGCGTGGTCGTCGGCCTGCTCGACACCGGCATCGACGCGGCGCACCCGTCGTTCCGCGGCGAGGGCATGCCGCCGCCGCCGGCCAGGTGGAAGGGCGCGTGCACGCCTCCCGCGCGGTGCAACAACAAGCTCGTCGGCGCGGCGTCGTTCGTCTACGGCAACGAGACCGGCGACGAGGTGGGGCACGGGACGCACACGGCGGCCACGGCGGCCGGGCGCTTCGTCGACGGCGTCTCGGCGTTCGGCCTCGCCGCGGGCACCGCCTCCGGGATGGCCCCCGGTGCGCACCTCGCCATGTACAAGGTCTGCAACGACCAGGGGTGCTTCGAGTCCGACGTGCTCGCCGGGATGGACGCGGCGGTGAAGGACGGCGTCGACGTGCTGTCCATCTCCCTCGGTGGCCCGTCCTTGCCGTTCGACAAGGACCCGATCGCCATCGGCGCGTTCGGGGCGATGTCCAAGGGCATCGCCGTCGTGTGCGCCGGCGGCAACAGCGGGCCGACGCACTTCACGCTGTCCAACGAGGCGCCGTGGATGCTCACCGTGGCGGCCGGGTCGGTGGACCGGAGCTTCCGCGCCACAGTGCGGCTCGGCGACGGCGAGGCGTTCGACGGCGAGTCGCTCAGCCAGGACAAGCGCTTCAGCTCCAAGGAGTACCCACTGTACTACTCCCAGGGCACCAACTACTGCGACTTCTTCGACGTCAACGTCACCGGCGCGGTGGTCGTGTGCGACACCGAGACGCCGCTGCCTCCGACGAGCTCAATCAACGCGGTCAAGGAGGCCGGCGGCGCCGGCGTGGTGTTCATCAACGAGGCGGACTTCGGGTACACCATCGTCGTCGAGAAGTACTACGGCCTCCCCATGTCGCAGGTGACCGCCGGCGACGGCGCCAAGATCATGGGATACGCCGCGGTGGGGTCGCCGGCCGCGTCCCACAACGCGACGATCGTGTTCAACAGCACGGTGGTCGGCGTCAAGCCGGCTCCGGTGGTCGCCGCCTTCTCGTCGCGCGGGCCGAGCGCGGCGAGCCCCGGCGTGCCGAAGCCGGACATCATGGCGCCGGGGCTGAACATCCTCTCCGCGTGGCCGTCGCAGGTGCCCGTCGGCGAGGGCGGCGGCGAGTCCTACGACTTCAACGTCGTCTCCGGCACGTCCATGGCGACGCCGCACGTCACCGGCGTCGTGGCGCTCATCAAGAAGCTCCACCCGGACTGGTCGCCGGCGATGATCAAGTCGGCGATCATGACGACGTCCAGCGCCGTGGACAACGACGGCCACGCCATCATGGACGAGGAGCACCGGAAGGCGAGGCTCTACTCCGTCGGCGCCGGCCACGTCGACCCGGCGAAGGCCATCGACCCGGGCCTGGTCTACGACCTCGCCGCCGGCGACTACGCCGCCTACATCTGCGCGCTCCTCGGCGAGGCGTCGCTGCGGGTCATCACCGGGGACGCCGCCGCGACGTGCGCGGCGGCGGGCTCCGTCGCGGAGGCGCAGCTGAACTACCCGGCGATACTGGTGCCGCTGCGCGGCCCGGGGGTGGAGGTGACGGTGAACCGGACGGTGACGAACGTCGGGCCGGCGAGGGCGAGGTACGCGGCGCACGTGGACGCGCCGGGGTCGGGGACGACGACGACGACGACGGTGAAGGTGGAGCCGGCGGAGCTGGTGTTCGAGGAGGCGATGGAGAGGAAGACGTTCGCGGTGACGGTCACGGCGAGCGGCGGCGGCGGCGCGGGCGGCGGCGGGCATGTGGTGGCGGAGGGGAGCCTCCGGTGGGTGTCGCGACGTCACGTGGTGCGGAGCCCGATCGTGGCGGACAGTAGCGTCGGCGGCCCCAGCCGCAGGTCGGCACAAGATGCTTAATTAGTTGCCGCCTTCGGTTTGATCAACACTACATTTATATACTATCGTCAATTAACCCATGTCATCGATATTTATACATTTCAAGAGGTAAAGTTTACAGCAAATTGTCTCGAAGTTTACGGTCGACGGTAGTTCGTTTACAGTGATATGGTGCCTTGAATTTTTTTTTTTCACAAGACGGTTTGAAGTTCCATTGATAGAGCATGAAAATCCTTGAAGACCGTAACCAGGAAAAACGAAAAAATTATACCACCTCCCACACACCGATAGCGCTAACACACAAGTCTAGAAGAAGGCTAGCACTGGACCAGCCGATGCTGAGCATGACCGACCACCGCTAGGCCAACAACAGAACACAGTCGAGATCGTCCAAAACTCGACCCTTAAATCCAACACACAGCCTAACTCTATCCATGTATTCAGGATTTAGGGAGAGAGGGTGAGAGAGAAGTTAGAACACCTCGACCCCCTAGGCCCTCCGACGTGGTTAACTTGTAGAAATTAGGACGCTGCCACAGGAGGATGAGAATCTAGAGTGTGCTTGCATCAATTGTTTGGGTGGTTTCGGCAAGGGGATGCCTGGACGACCTCTCCAAGGAGAGAAGCGACGGAAAACCGCCGTCGCCATCCGTCAAGGTCTCAATAGAGCCGAGACTGGGTTTTCTCCCGGCAACCACCCTTGAGGGGGTGAGACGGCACAACAACGCCCTCAGGAGGGAGGAATGACACTCGAGCGCCATTGTTGTCGGTCCGACCAAGGTTGGGCTGGGTTTTCACCCGCCATCCACCACCTGCCAATCTACTACAAATGCACCAATGCTCCATCTCCATCTAATCCTCCGCCACCAATGTTGCACCGGCACCCCCCGCCGGCCCGTCGTCACGTGTTGCCACCTCACCGGGCTCCAACTCCAGTGACATCACCTCCCGCTGCGGCCTCGATGCTGCTGGCCGCAACTCCTCCGCCGTGCCAGATGCCGGCCGAGTCTCCCAGCCTCACCGGCCATCCACAGCCACCGGCGCCCGCGCATGCCGCCACCTCCGCCACTCACCCAACACCTCGAGGACCATGGGCAGATGAAACACAACGAAGAACTTTATTGATTTTTGCTATACAGGACATGAGCTATTGGAAGGGAAGATGGTCATCACGGGCTCACAGACAAATCAGGAGAGAAAGGAAGAGAGAAAGGAAGAGAGAGAACCAGATGAATGGGGAATAAAATATTAGTATTTACATTAGCTGATGTTAGAGGCTGTTTATTGTACTACTATGAGCAGGTACAATAGCAGGCTATAAGCCAGCTACAAACATATTTTAAGGAGATAAATGAGGAGAGAGAAGAGAAGCGGGCTACAGATTTGTAGCCAGCTGTAGCACAGACTTTAAGACACAGTGTGTGTATGACAGGTGGGATCAAGTATTAATAGTGTAGTATGTAACTATTGTATGAATGAGCTATTAGATTGGCTATAGATAAATTGGAGCTAGTAGTTGACTATACTATTGAACTTGCTCTACATGTTAACTACTCTGTTGCCTGTTGGCGGTAAATGAGGGGTCCATGCATAGGATTGCAAGTGGGATGGGTTGTGGGCCGTCCCGCCCCACCCCACACCAGCCGCAAACTGCATGTGCGGGCAAACGGCAGCCCGCCCCGCACGGCTTGGCGGGATTGCTCAGCCCGACGGGCACCGCTGGACAGCCCACAATGTGCACATCTCTGTTTAATTAGGTTCATCAATCACACAAGCACATAACTACTCCATATCCCAAATTTAGCACATGAAAACTGTATTATTTTCATGTGAAAGTATTCTTTTTCAATGACATAACAAGTATAGTACTGAATAAGAACACCATTCTTTTCCTTCAACATCATGACTAAAGTTAGAGTGATGATGATGCATTTTCTCTTCATGATAAACCAACTGTCCCAATTGACAAAGTGACAAACAACTGCTTCCAGCTCCATGAGCTCTTCCGGTCTTTTTCTATATTACCTTCAACACATTAAATTTAATAAAGTTGGAGTGGAGAAACTACTAATCGAAAATTAGAAATGAATTCATCAACCGACTGATCACAACGTTATTCCATATTGTAGAATGGAGTAAATATGTACTAAGTTTCATCAATTAAGAATGCATCCAAAATATGAATTAAAGGACATAATTGACAATAACAAGCAGTTATCGAGGATAGTGAGATATATAACCTGCTGCTGGTTGTTGTGCTGGTACTGCATGTTACTAGAGGTGTATAGGCATTTTCACCTGTATAGGAAGAAACAATGGAGTTAATAAAAAAGAGTACATGCTGGACTGTTGGATGTTAATAAAAAAGAAACAATGATGTTAGTGGTGTAGTATACAACTATACAAAAATATAGAATAGCCAAGTTAATTCAAACGAATCTCAATTTAAATACCTGAATGTTGCACATTTTGGTCATCACTCTCAGCAAGATCACGTGCAAAGAAATCACCCAAACCTTCTGCCCTCATCCAATCTTGAAGGCAAATCAATGCCTCTACAGTACTGCTTGAAAGTCTACTTCTATAGTCACTAATGATCCTTTCTCCAGTTGAAAATGCTGCCTCTGATGCCACTGATGTTGCTGGAATAGCCAAAACATCACGTGCCATTCGTGAAATCACAGGGTACTTTGTTTTGTTTACCATCCACCAGTTCAAGATATCAAAATCATACCCATCTTGGAAATCACCTTCCTGAGGCATATCAGCAAGATATCGAATAAGCTCACTCTTTACTTTGCTCCTGCTTTTGTCATGTAGAAACTGTCTCCAATCAGCGAATTGATTACTTGCATCAACATTCTGCTCAACACTTGTTTCGGGCTGAGAATTGATGTTGTTTGAGCCCCCATACTTGGCAGAATATTCATCAAACAATTTCTGCATATTACTCTTGATTTCCTTAAGGTAAGGAGTTACAGCAGCTCCAAATGCAGACTTCAAACGAAACTCAATGAATTTGTACTTATACCTTGGATCAAAAATAATCGGGAAACATATTTGCAAGTATTGAGCGTCCCAGTACTTCTTAAATTTTTCTTTCATTTCCTTGACAATAGATGCAATGGTGACATCTTCATTTGTAGCCTCCTTGTCCAAAACCATCTTTATCTTCCAAAGTTCATGAAAATAGCAAGTTGAAGTTGGGTACAACGTACCAGATACTGCAACAGTAGCTTCATAGAAAACTTTCAACAAAGCACAAAGCTTCTCAGCCATTGTCCATTGATAATCGAAGGGTTGATGCAAATAATTTATGTCATGCCGATCCAAGGCTTCAAAGGCCATTCTGTGTCATGCATGTGGTTCGACTTTTTGTGCTCCTAGATGGTTGAAGGGAGGCGGCGCTGCGGGCGTTGCAGGAGGAATGTGCGAGCGTGCTGCTAGCTGGCCATGGCGGTCAATTTGTTGGACTAATCAGCATAGCACACACCAAATCCGAGAAGAGGAGGAGCAGCACTGCGTAAAAAAAATACTCCATCTGCGAAGAAGAGCTAGCACCTAACGCAGATAGGAGCATCTCGCAAGCGATCGAGACTTCGAGAGCATGGAGCCACAGCTGCCGACCGTGATATCGATGGAGTGGGATAGCACCACCGAGCCGGCCAAATCGTCGCCGCCGTCACAGAGGTACGGCTACCTGGAGAGGATCCGTAACTTGTCCGTCGTCTCGGCCGAGGCCGGCCGGTGGTGGTGGCCATGCTCGTCGTCGTCGACGGCGAGATCCAGCTACTACAGCAGCAGCATGTCAAGCAGCGTGTCCGGTACTGGCTCTCAGAATCAACGGTACGTCTCTTACTCTTCGCCGAGGATGGTAAGACTCGACGTCCATGGTCCTCGAGACATTGCGAGGCAGATGGTGCACGATGCATGGGTTCATGGTGAACTTGATCAGAGACTTCGACCGGGAGCCCGACCATGCGCTGGAGAGGTGGTTCTCCGAGCTCGACGTCGGTTGGGTACTCCGGTCGGCGGCGGAGAAGGAGCTAGCCGCCAAGCTCGGCTTGGATGATCTTGTGCAGCGGTGGACGCGAGGATATGCCGTGATGGTCGAAGCACTCGTAGCTACGCAGCAAAATATGAAATTTCAGGATCATACCAATATGGAGCTAGAAGACGACCTCCGACCTCTCCAAGTCACTCGGTTCGTGGAGGCGACCGTATCCAAGATGCTTGCCTTTGCTGATGCCCTCGCCGCTGATAACACTTGGCGGCCAATTGACAAGCTCTCGCGGTCGCGGCTCATGTGCCTGTGCACCTCGATCAACGAGTGCGGCATACGAATCTTGTCAGAAATAATAGTATTTGAGTTTGATTGCATATTCAGCAAAATGAATGGTGCTTTCTCAGCCATATACAGGATGGCCAAGGATGCTGAAGCCATCACTTGAAAGACCAAGAACGACTATAGAGGGGGGGGGGGTGAATATAGCAATTCAAAACTTGTCCCCAAAAATACTCATCAAGCCGGATTTCTCAAAATTCTTACTAGAACTGTGGCTATTAGAGAAGCCGGATCTAGAAAAGAAGAGAGATGGAATTCCCGAAACTAGAAGTGAGGTGAGGAGAAGATAGCAAAACTTGTCATCGCAAAATTCAAATCGCAAGCGAAATTTAAATTGCGGAATTTAAAAGGCGAAGACAAAACGAAATGCTTCAAATCATTTCATTCATCAGTGTTGCAAAATAACAGCTCAACTAGGAGCAAACATACACCTTCAGAGGAACATTAACACAAACTTAAAAATCACTCGGACAAACACACTCCAAACTAATCCTAATACAAAAGCCTCTCGGGCAAACACACTCCAAACTCACACCGAAACTCTCTCACCGAGCATCTCAAAAGGATTACAAAAGGAGCAACCTCCACCCTTGCATCCACCTCTCTATTTATAGCCTAAGACCCCCTAAAACATTGTCACAAATGCCCTTAGGGCGAAATCCTAACTCACATGCAATCTGGGCCATACGTTGTTCCTTACATCCTAAGGAAGTAGCCTGGATGGAAGCCACGTCGCTTGCCACACCAGGATCCTCTTTTCACAAAGAATCCGCACCAAATTCCTCCCATGTGCGTGCCCGCGTGCTCCTCAACGTGAGCCCCGTGATCCGTGAGAAGGCTCCTCCGAGCCAATCAGCATGCACCGATCGGGAGATCGATCCGCGTCGTCTCCGTCTTGCCGAATCAAAACTTGCCACGTTGCTCAGTAGTGCTGTGCACGTCCCGTCTCCTTTTCCTCAGCGCGCGCGCACGCTCGCGCCCAGTCCGGAGCCGCCACGTGTCTCGCCGAGCCGCTCCGCGCGTGCTCGCGAAAACCGCGTGGGTCCCACGCCCGTGCGCGCCGAATTGCTTGCCGCCGCGTGTCCACTGTGCGCGCATGCCTCGTGCAATCTCCCGCGCTTGCCCGCGCATGGTGCCGATGCCGTGGGCCGTCGTCTTGTCTTGGGCCTGCTCGGCCTGGCCTCCCTGCCAGCTGATCCATCCATCATCTTGAGCCACGAGGAAGGGCTAGATTGGCTTGGCCTCCCTGCCAACCAATCACAACACACATGCACCCATGGGCTAGCAAGCTCCTCATGCACACATGCATGTCTTGAGCCCGTGCATGGCATTCGGCCATGTGCACGCATGCATAACCGAAGCACCACTCCCCATGCTTGCATATGCACATGCCAGTGCATGTATGCAAGCTCCTCTTCTATTCTCCATTTTCTTCGCGAACCCGGCACTTGCACTTGACCTTGCGAACTCCGTTGCGAAGACCTCCTCACACGGTGTCCGTCCACCGTGTGCAACCTTGTGTCCAATCTTGTCACCCAGCATCCTTGATCGCTCTGGACCTCAACTTCTCCCTGAGTCTAGTCCCGATCCGCCGTTGACCAAGATCGACCCCGATCACCTGCACACACATGAACCAAACAACCGTTGTCTTGGCACATATGTCGCAACCTGACCAATGTTAGTCCACACACATACTTCTTGCACTTCCGGTACTTGTCAATTTCCCATCACTAAAGAACTATAACCACACATGGTTTCACAATCTCCCCGTTGATGAGAACAATGACAATCTCAAGCAACATTTTGAAAATTTAATTTTGATTCACAAAGCAAACCATTTTGCAAAAGTCGAACTTTGGTCATTTTGAAATCGCGAAAAATCAAGACCAAGTGACAAGAAGAAAAGGGATGCAAATGCAAATGCAAAAATGCTCCCCCTTGTGCCAAAACTCCCCCTTTCACCAAGATCTAAAGCAAGTTTTAATTTTCAATAAGTGCAAATTTCTCTCCCTCTTTGTCAATGATGCCATCAAGATCAAAAGAGACAAAAATGAGATGAAACTTGCAAATTTTAGTGTTTTGAGAGCTTTGAGAGTTATCTAAAGGCATCAAAAGGTAGACATGGATCACACAGATATAAACATGTGCTCAAGCCTAGCTAAGCATGTGCATAAGAAGTATGAAACATGTCATGGATATCAAGATAGTATCGGCAGCAAGCAAAAAGCTTTCAAGTGAATTAGTAATTTAGTGTGCAAAGCTATTTCTAGAAGAAGCTTAAAAGGAAGCAAACCAGCTCATAATCAAGCAAGATTTACATAACCAAAGCAATGAACCCATGCTAATGTGCTAATGCCCAGTTCATAAAGAGTATCAACATGATAACAAAACATAGAACATGAGCTTTTAAACTTTTCTCATAACTTTTATTTTTATGTTTTTTTAATTTCTTTAAAGACAATAGCACAATCACGACGGTCCACCTGATCTTATCAGTCAGCAAGTCATGGTTGTGCCAAACACTGCCGTCTGACCTCAATCAAGTTTTCCAGCTAGAGTTCCCATTACAGGCTGTCTCAGTGCTATCTTCGGTACTACTCATGCGTAAACGCACTCAGTAGCCCGAACAAAAACAGAGATAAAGCTTGTAAAACATGATTGATACAAAGTATGAACACATAAGCATGAGCATTCATGAGCATGTACTGACAGTTATTGCAAAAAGAATGTAAACATGGCATGAGTATGAGATGGATACTTTAACTTAAACAAACTTCTAGAGCAACCATTGCACATTGATTAAGTTCAAATGAATAGTCAATTTAAGCAGGTTTCAACAAGCTTGAACAGCATAACATGATCACACAAGCTACTTAAGAAAATGAAAGCTAGACAAGAGATCAAACTAGCATAAGAGTGATACATGCATAGCATAGTGATGACCAAGAGATAACAAGCAAAGCTCAATTGAAGAGTGTATAATACAATGCATAAAGTAAACATGATGCAATATGTTACAAATGCATGCAAAAGAAAAACAATTCCCCCTCAAATCAAGCCATAGGGGTGGATCACCCCTAACTCACTCCGCAAGAACTCAAAACGAGAGCGATCAAGTGGTTTTGTAAAAATGTCTGCCAATTGTTTTTCAGATTCAACAAACTCTAGCACAATGGTACCTTTCTCAACATTGTCTCGGAGAAAGTGGTACCGTATCTCAATGTGCTTGGTCCTGGAGTGTTGAACTGGATTTTTTGCAATATTGATTGCACTTGTATTATCACAAAGCAGAGGAACACCAGAGAAAGACAGACCATAATCTTTCAGAGTTAAAATCATCCAAAGAACTTGACTACATGCACTAGCAGCAGCTACGTACTCAGCCTCAGCTGTTGATTGAGCAACAGAAGACTGCTTACGAGAGGACCAAGAAATCAAAGAAGTGCCAAGAAAATGACAAGTGCCAGAAGTACTTTTTCGATCAATCTTACACCCAGCAAAATCAGCATATGAAAAAGCTCGAACTGAAAGGGCAGAAGAGCAGGAGTACCAAATACCGTACTCAAGTGTAGACTTGATGTAGCGGAAGATGCGCGGAAGATGCGCTTGACTGCTTGGCGATGTGATGCTCTTGGAGAAGCCTGAAACCTCGCGCATAGGCACACGGAGAAGTGGATGTCTGGCCTTGACGCGGTCAGGTAGAGGAGGGAGCCGATCATGCTTCTGTACTCGCGTTGGTCAACTTCTTCACCGTCCTCATCAGGACCAAGCGATGAAGTAGTTGCCATGGGAGTGGCGATTGGCTTGCAGTCGGCCATGTCGAACTTCTTCAGGAGCTCTTTGGAGTACTTGGTCTGAGGTACAAAGATTCCTTCCTTAGTTTGCTTGATTTGAAGTCCAAGGAAGAAAGTCAGCTCTCCCATCATGCTCATTT